AAGGGCAACCTGGTGTACATCATTGACTTTGGCCTTGCCAAAAAATACCGGGATGCCCGCACGCACCAGCACATCCCTTACAGAGAGAACAAGAACCTGACTGGCACGGCACGCTATGCCTCCATCAACACACATCTTGGAATCGGTAAGGTCCCCTCTGAAACACTTCTTTTACTCATTCGTGTTGCGTCTTGACCCTGTCACTCACACTCTGTTCTCAGGCAGTCCTGTTATTACAAGAAAGCTTCACTTAGACTTGTTGTGATTTATGTGTTGATTTTCTGTCATGTTTTAAGAAAACATAAATATAGCAGGATGCTGAGTGTTCAGCCCAGTTCAGAATCTTTCCTTTGCAGTCAAATGGAAAGAAATGTTGATTTTTTAAAAAATATTTTAAAATGATTTGTTGGTTCATTAATAATAGTTATATTTAATTGTATTCATAAGAACATTCATAATGGTGGTGTCCTCGGCTCTATCAGGGTCTTATCCTCTTCCACTTTATGAGCTGCTTCAATACATCATGTTAATGTGATTCATCAGAGCTGGCTTATGATGAAATCTCTGTGTACATGAAGCTCAACCCTAGCATGGAGATGTAATGCACTGTATTATGTGCTAGATTATACCCGTCACTTATCTTAAAAGTCTCCTCTCCGTACTGATGGTCTCAGGTTTTTTTTTTTTTTAATCTTCTAACTGGTTCTTTCTGGATTTTTTTTCAGCAACTACTTTTAAGACTATTCTGCTTAATGTTGGACATTCCTCCTCTCTCAGTCTTTGTTGACACACCCTCTTAAGGTTGGATGATGCGGGGGAATAGCTCTCATGAGAATGGAAAAGGAAGGAAATGCCATTTGGGATCGAAGGCAGCTCTGTTGTGGTGTTGTCATTTCAACCTTTATTAGACATTCTGCAGAGCTTATTATATGGTTACCTGTTTAAATAGTTGTAGATTCAGTAAGTTATTAATCTGCTATGTATTTGGGGTTTAGGTTAGATGCCAACTGGAGAGATGAATGAAGTGAGTGTAGGATGGAGCTGGAACCATCACTGTTCTAATATTTAACCTTAATCTTTGTATATGTGTTTTACGATTAACACGGACTTTGTTCTCAGTAAGAAGTGCCACATGAAAACTTTATTTATATTATTAGGTCAAGGAAATCTGTGTTCTTGATGCAATGCAGATTTGCTGACATGTAGTGCAACTAGAAACTACCCACAAATCATAACACAACCATTGTCTGTCACATATAGATATTGGTAAACCACTAATACTGAATGAAATATTTGAGCCACATATGACTAATCTAGTAACCACCAAAAACCCCTCAGTTTCCCCTCTATAGACATGCAGAGCAAGATAAATAGTTTGGCCAGGTTGAGACACATTTCCAAGCCTAGTTCATTAATGGAACTCATCTTTTTTCTGTTTCTAGACAACATTTTATTAACTATTAATTGTGCCGATTGACAAACCACTATAAACTATGACTCATACGATTAGGCATACATTCCTGAGCTTTTCCACTCACTCCTCTATGCTCTCTCTTGTTTTCTGTCCACAGAGCAGTCCAGACGTGACGATCTGGAGTCTCTCGGCTATGTCCTCATGTACTTCAACCTGGGCTCCCTCCCCTGGCAGGGCCTCAAGGCTGCGACCAAGAGACAGAAATATGAACGAATCAGCGAGAAGAAAATGTCCACACCTATTGAGGTTCTTTGCAAAGGTTACCCTTGTAAGTGATGTTTCTGTGTTACCTCTGTGTATTTATGCAGTAACATATCCACATTTGTAAAATAATATGCCACTGTGGTACTCCTCAGTATGGAACCAAACCTTGACATTACAAATGTTACCTGATTAAAATCCATTAACGACATTGATCCTCTTATTTGTTCTCCTACAGCTGAGTTCTCCACATACCTGAATTTTTGCCGTTCACTTCGTTTTGATGACAAGCCAGACTACTCCTACCTACGACAGCTCTTCAGGAATCTTTTCCACCGACAGGGCTTCTCCTATGATTATGTCTTTGACTGGAACATGCTCAAATTTGTAAGTTTACATCAGGTGTTTCTAACTGAATTGATTAATTCGTTAATTTGCATGAAAATCCAAATTCCAAACTGCTAATGATATAATACAGATAATAAACAGCTATTTTTGTCAGTGGAGAAGTTTTAATAAGGCTGTTTTAACTGTCAGGGTGCCAGTCGGACAGCTGAGGATGGCGATCGGGAAAGGAGGACGGGAGACGAGAGGGATGAGCGGATCGGAGGAGCCCCCAGGGGCTCTGCATCGCGAGGCCTTCCTCCAGGTCCCAACCCTGGAGCTCCCAACAGAGTCAGGAATGGGCCAGAACAGGCAATCTCTAACCCAGCCTCACGGGTCCCACAGTCTGGTGAGTTTTCTGCTCAGGTGCCAAACTCCTGTCTGTCTTTTAATAAACGTTATCTGTTATTAAAAGACTGTAGCAGATATGAGCATCAGATACGGTCAGTTCTCAACTCAATGAATGAATGAATCATTTCAGGGAACACGTCGCCACGTGCAATTTCTCGTGCAGAGAGGGAAAGGAAAGTGAGCATGCGCCTCCATCGTGGTGCTCCTGCCAACGTATCGTCCTCTGACCTCACAGCCCGTCACGACCAGTCCAGAATTTCCACATCCCAGGTGAAGAAAAAAAAAACACTACTTCTTTCATCATGTATTAAAGCATCAGTATCAGGACAATATTTTCATTGGGTGAGACCTATCATTGCAAAATGTGTCACAGGTACTGGATGTCTTGTACGTGAATGTGAGACAGCAAATTCTTCCTCTTTAGTCTAAATCTGTTTCTTCTGCAGGTCAGCGTGCCATTTGAGCACATGGGGAAGTAGAACTATTTTGGCTCTGCATGCACATGGAATTGACAGGTAAGCTCTACTTTCACTCATGTTTTCACATGCTGACTGCAAAAATACACTTCTCACCAACACATGGCCTTCTCTACTAACTGACAATCCACTTGTTGTTGCAGGGCTGCAAGATATGTCCATCGCTCTGTTTATTTTCCTTTGTTTTTTACCTTGTCTTATTACAAGATGATTGCCAATGGACACGTGGATCTTTGGAAAAGGACAATAATTTTTTAAAGGATCCAGAGAAGTACATGACAGCATCCAACATGCACTCTGTCATGAACCCTTTTGCTGATCCCTGGATCACCACCACCACTATACAAAAAAAAACTAAATAAATGAATGACAGTGCTTAGCCATTGTTACTCCCTGGTTGCTCTTACCTGTTTCCCCTCTTCCTCAAAGCATTCCCTCAGTACCCTCTGTCTGACAAATGTGAACTGTTAGCATCAAAGAAGCAAAATGGTATCAGGGACACATGCATGTTATGATATAGGCTTAGTACAGATTTATCCTTTTCAGTTAAATCAGCAAAAGCAACTTTGAAATGAATTTTGTCTATCTGTCATGAAGACATCTTAAATTGAACCTTATTTTGAGTTTATGTCTGTGTATTTTTCAAAGACGTAACTGCTAAAAGATGAAGAGGTAGGTGGGGAGAGGGGTAGAGCACAAAAAGAAAGGAAACTTTGAAAAGGACAAGTAAGTGATGTTTTAGCTGTTGTACAGTAACGTTTCTGGTGAAGTAGGAAGTGGTCCTTGCTTGCCCTTCATCCATCATGTTGTGACGATGTTCTTTTCCTCAAACTCTGCCACCAAAACCTCCACCACCCCTTTTTATTTTGCCTGTTCTTAATTGTGTGTTTTCTTTTGGGTTCTAATGTGAGTGGGTAAGGTGAAGAATGACCATAGATATTGCAAAGACACACTCCCAAGTCTTGAGGGACGCTCCTCAGGAAATTCTCATTGTATTTGACCAGAGACCATAGCTGCCCGATTTGGCTAACAAATAGTGGCTGCAATTTTTATGATAGTTCTTAATGTTACCTTTTGTTATTGGAGGTCATAGGGGAGGGGGCAGGATCTGATAGGGAATACAGTGGGGGGGGGGCATCCAATGATTTTTATTTTAATGTTTACTCCACTGTAAATAATTTTTTTTATTTTGATGTAAAGGCAAAATGTGGTTGTTTGTTTTAAAACTGTAAAGTAGAAAAATGCATACTATTGACAAAAATAGGGGCTGGGTTCAGAATTTTAGGTATTTAAAGTACTAAAATGGAGGGATGGGCTATTATTGCTTTGCCAGCTGGGTCATCCTGTTTGTGTGAGTGTGTGTGTGCGTGCGCGTGTGTGTGTGAAAGATGGAAAATGATACAGAAAATCCCTGCTTAGAATACACGATTAATTTTGTCTTTGTATGCAGATTGTTTTTATCTTCGTCCTCTCGGCTATTTATGTTAAACTATTTTATCTGTCTGTAATAACTTTGTTTTTATTATCTTATCTTTGTTTCTTTTCATCCTCCTGTAATTTATTAGATTGACCTTGTTCAGTTTTTTCTCCACCGATCACCTTTGCTCTTCTGTTATGCTTCAACGCTCGCGTGTCCGCCCCATAATGACGCACGGGGCTTTTAATATTCCTTCGGCAAAAATCACATCCTGCTAGTTTCATGTCACCTTTTGGATTTTGACCTCCAGCAGCCTCGATGATGTCACTCCGGATAAAACATACATAACCGATGCAATTGCAGGGATGTGTAAATAGCAGTGTACTGTGTGTAAATCACTTTGTACAGGCCACCGTGACCCAGTGGCAGTGTAACTGTTGGTCTGGAGGAGGCTGAGGCGATGGGGGTGGGGAGGGGGGGGTTTCACTTTATGTATTGTGTACTGATAGCTTGTACAGTTCTTTAACACACTTTATTTACAACAGTATTTGTGTATATTTTATGAATTAATAAAAATGAATAACGTTGCTCACACCTTGCAGCTGCTGGTTGTTTTTCATTGTGGGGGGGGGCGGGGGTGCACAGATAATCACGACCCTGGGAAATTAAAGCTGCGCCGCTGCGCATGCGCCGGGAGCCGAGTATTAGCTGGCCGCTGATGTGGAGGAAGTAACGGTGTGTGGCTGTTAGCTGTGGCCGGGAAGTGGAGAGAGGATTCTGCATCCTCCGGAGGAGCTCATCGTTTTATCTGCGAGCATCGCTGCGTGAAAACGCGTTTGTTTGTTTTTTTTCCTTAATTCCAGCTTTTGTTTAAACAACGCAGGGAAGCTAGCGCCAGGCTAACCAGGCTAGCTTTAGCTTTAGCTAGCAGTGGACGCTCAGCTGCAGACACTCGGCAGGTTTGTGGGAAGAGAAGAAGAAGAAGACGCAGGTTTCTGGGGTTCGAACAACGATGTGTCGATCAGATAAGTGCCTGGATGTCGTCTGAAGTTTAACACTCGACCATATTGACTTAGTTGAGCTGCTCCAAAGGTTTTTACAGTCGACTTGAGATGATGATGAGCTAAATTGATGCTTGGACTGAAACAGATCTAACAACTGCAGAGGTGAGTACTGAGGGAATGGCTTTTTTTTTTCTAAACACGTTTTTCAGCCTAATTTGTTATTTAGATATCCTCCATGCTGAATTTCCAGTGAGCATGATGTCACCCTGTCTTTAAAACGCAGCACAGCTTTCTGTGCACACAGATCTAAAGGTTGAAACCACCCTCTTCTTTCCTACTGAGGGTTTGTTACAGCTTCACTTAGCACGATGGAAGTGTTGTGGTCTCTGGATGAGCACGACCTCAATTCCCTGATGCTTCCCTGTATGTTTCAGACAGCCCCCCCCCCCCTCGAGCACTTATGATGGGCTCTCACAAAGACTGCTGATTCGATCGAGGTCAAAGTACAAAGCATGTTTTGAAATCTGTCAACAGGACTGATGAGTTGCTTCTGTCCCTTGTCTGCGGCCCACAGAGATGCATGAGCTTTGTTTTTGTAACCTCTGTCATTCACCGCTAACTTGTGTGTATGTCTAACTTCATGGTTTACAGAAGTCAATTTGCAAACTACTGTTTTAATTCATCAGATGAGGCAAAAATGGGGGGAAAAAACCTCCCCTGATATCAGTGTATTGTGTTTTACATCTGTTTGGACAAAGAAATGTTAAATAGTCCGGTTGATGTTAACCACTTTGAAATGCTTGTAAATTAAAACTGCCATATCAGAAAACATTGTGCAAGATGATTCACTAAGTGATTTCTTTGTATTGAATAAGAGAAAGGGAATAAGTTTATCGGCTGACGTATTGCACAGCCCTTAATTGCACCATTTAAAAGTTTGGTAAAATATAGACAATTCATATTGTAGCTACAGGGCAAAGCCATAAAACTGTATTGATAACTGTGTTGATAAGTGTCATCAATTACAGTAAAACAAATGTCCAATATTTGTTCACATAATGTCTATGCATCTTAAAAGCCCAGTGAGGAGGTAAAACACTTAATTGATCCGCCTCAAATGTGTTAAATGTTTTAGCTTTTTCATTCTCTGCCCACAAAGAAGTGTTTATAACCACAACCACAACCAATGTAAAAGAAATAATAATGTGTTAACATTGTCAGTATTGTCTGATATGGACATTTTGTCTTTGGTCATATCTCCCATCCTTATCACTCGCTCTGTCTTCCTGGTGTTTCTTTATAAAAAAGAGATTTATTTAAAAAAGTTGAGTATGTGCGGTTCTAAATTAATTTCCTTGATTACATACTGATGTGTTCCTTATTAGTGATTGAGGCCCTGGTGAGCAATATGAGTCATCCATGATCACCTGCTGTGCCCGCCTATATTTAGCTGGTGCACTGAAAGTCTTGAAATTAGTTTTCCCTGTGAATGATTCGATTATTGCCTTCCTGGAATCCACACCTTGACAGTGATGTAGTCAGAGAGCTGACAGCACTCAAGAGATCTACAGTAACTTGTTTTCATTTCCTAATGTTTCCAAATCTGTGCGGAGGGACTGTGTGTTACACACCACTTGTCTTATATACACTTATCAATCTTTGTTGATATTTCAAGGTTTTCCAGTGGGTGTGATATCTTCCCATTCCGCTGATGTGGCAGTGATGCAGTGTGTTAGCATTAAGATTGTCAGTGTAACTCTGATGAAGACAACTTACTGGTTTATCCATTTTTGTTTTTTGATAATGAACGTTGAGAAAAGAGCATAAATATGAAAGTGAGTCATCCAGTGTGTCACATCTTTCCCATCTACAGTTTATGCTCATATAATGGCTACTGTGTCATTTGTGGAGCAAAAAAAGAACGTCATTTTACAGAGTGAGCATCTGGATGACGTTTCAGTATAGTTTCCCTCCATGTCAGCTTGATGTCCAGAGTCTACCATGAACCTGTGGCCAGAGCTCTCACTGTGTTGAGCCTGCACTCTGGGGCTGATTAGTGGAAAAGGTATATGTTCCGTGAAATATGTTTGTGTTTAGTGCGTTCTTTAGCCACGCGGCGCTCCTTTCATCCCTCAGTATATCACTGAGGAAGAATTGAGTGGAAATTGGGTCATGTTATCTGTCTATCCACACAATCGCTTTTACACTGTAAATCTGTGGACCGTCCTACTTTGCTCTGTGTCTGTTTTTGTTTTCTCGTTCTAAAATCAGCGGATGTTGGATAGAGATTTAGGTCTTTCACTGTTGAGGCCTGTTGTGATGCATTTACAAATTTTTTTTATTCAGGCCTTGCAGCTGAATCTTTTTGACCAATAGTTAACATCTTCATTGATGAAGTCTCTTCTACACCCTGTCTCTTTATACAGATGAGTCAACTCTGGCAGCGAGACATACCCCTGTCAGAGAGGTTGGGGAATGAGTCTCCAGTTGGCCTCGCCCCTGGGTTGCCCGCCACTGTGGCCCCACAAGGATCCAACTCCTCTTTGGTACCAGAGGCCCCAGTCGCCACACCAGATCAGCCATTTTTCCTCATGACCTCCACTGCCCAGACTATATCAGGCTTTTTTGTTTGGACGGCTCTTCTAATCACATGTCACCAGGTAAGAGGATCCTCTCATTGGAAAGTTGAAACTTAAGTTATAACCGCAAGGTTTCAGGTTTTCTCTCAACAAATGTAGCTATTTTATCCAATAATAAGTATCTATGTCCTTTTGATCATGAGGATCTAGGAGGTAGGAGGCCAGAATAACACACCATGTGTCATGGGACAACTTGTTGTGGTCGTATTAAAATGAATGAGGAGTTAGTCACATTGCACCATCAGTCTAAACACAGTTTAAGTATCGTTAAGCATGATACAAAAACCCTATGTGCTTCCTCATGTGTCACTCTGGGTGAGACTTAATACCAATGTCTAAAAGAGGCTGTGGCTGCATCTGAGTTGTTGCCTTGCCAGCCTTCAGGCAAACGGGTTAAGCTGGAGTACAAAACCGAATTCTTACACATTGTTTTTCAAATCCACGCACTGTTCACCTTCTTTTTCTTCGTCCCTCTTCTTAATTTTTTTGGTCAAATCTGATTGACTGAAATTGTTGATGCCCGTGAAACATACCCAGCCTTGGGCACACTTTTCAAGTAGCGCAGCTACAGAGGAAGTATGGCAAGATCTGAGTGAGCGCTTCCTTTACTGCTGCTTGTCTGCGTAGTAAGACGTCATGTGTTTTAGCTTCTCGTGTCATTAACAGTGGTGTTGTGAATCGTCAATGTGTAGTCTTAGTGTTGCCGTACAGAGGATCGGTGCTGTTTGCCTCCTTTGTGTCAGTTTGTCAGCCTTCACGTTACAGCTTAGGTTCATGATTTGTCTCCCATTGGCGGCTGATGTCCTTCACATACAGGGTTTTAGAGGAGCCTTCGGTCCCTCTGGCAACAGGTGGCTCTGACTTCACTAGGACGCCGTCAAAGAACAGGGAATGTGTGTGTGTGTTGTCTGAGAGAGAGAGAGGTGGTGTCAGAGGAGGGATGAGGGTCACTATAGCAACAAGCCCTACGAGCAGAGTGCATTATCCCGCTTGGTGTGTTGTCACCCACTCTTTGTTATACCTCAGGTGTGTGTCTGTTTACAGACCAGGAAAGGTGATAGGTGGGGCATTATGTAAGTGGAAGTGAGCCGGAGAGTGCAGACAGAGGTGCTGCTGACAAGGCCCACCCTGTTCTTCCTGCTGTCTGCTGCTCTGACTTGGAGTGATAAAAGCCCAGTATCAATTACCTGTAACAACCCTATTGTCGGTGCACACACACAACACACTCTACAGACACACACTACTCCAGTTTCTGACTCACGCACATTTATACAGACTGTATTGATGATAACAGGTTTCATGAGGTAACAGTTAGTTTCAGCTAACTCAGTTATTTTAAGTTGTAGTTTCAAAGGGGGGAAGCTGTTCCATATTCACTTTTCATTTTTACCAAGAAGGTGTTGTTTCCACACCTGTCTGTGTTTTGGTTTTCTGGTTGGTTGGTTTGTTTGTTTGTCACCAGAATTATGCAGCAACATATAGAAGACTGATGTTGGAGTCACTAAACCTGTGACTTTTTACACAAAGTTCTCAGATTTCTGACCTTGTCACTTACCTATTTTGATCTATCTCATTTTGATTGTCTGCTTCTTTTTAGATCTACATGCATCTTCGTTACTACAGCTCTCCTAATGAACAGAGGCACATCGTTAGGATCCTCTTCATAGTCCCCATCTATGCCTTCGACTCCTGGCTCAGCCTTCTTTTCTTCACCAACGAGGAGTATTACGTTTACTTTGACACAGTCCGAGACTGCTACGAAGGTGAGTGGATAGAGAAATGAAATGCAATGAACTGGTACATTTTCTGCTGCAGGCTGGATTGCACAAAGGCATTTTTTACATGCACACTACAGGCGAATATTCACCACAGTGTTAAGAGTGAGCACTTTGTGCTCCAGTGTGTGTCTTATTTGATTCCCAGTAGAAATAAGGGTGTGAGAATTGATGTGTTGTGATACCCCAGTGGCAGACGGCCTTTGCAGGGTCTTCAGTTACAAAGGTTGCCATCTTTGTTCTCATGTCTCCCTGGCCTGTTGGGATTGCAGGGGAGGGGAGACCTGTTTCCTAGCAACTATATGAAAACGAGCAAAGCCTTGAGAAGACTTAAAAAAAAAAAAAGCAGATAAACCAAAACCTTGTTCTTTAACCCACCAGCCTATAATGCAAATACTGTCACTGGTTAAATAGCAATGCCAAAACCTGCTATTGTTAGATTAAAACAATGTTGATCTAATAAAGAAAATAGAGTGTTTGTAATAATGCAGCATCAACAGAGCCAGCACTGTGCTGTAGTGTTCTGGCACAGATTGTCAGTGTGCTAGAATAAGAGGCTTACCTTTTAAACTCAGCCACTTTGAACGGTAATGAGAGCCGGAGCAGTGGGAGCTGCTGTCTGTCGGTGACCCTGAGCCTGAGAACACCTGGGGCAGCAGAAGAAAAAAACATTCTGCTCAGGGACACCAATTACTGGGATCAGTGTGTGGTCCAGTCTGGTTCAATTAAAGTATGTGCGACTTCTCAGCACTGACATTATTGATCAGTACACACAGTATGAAGTCATAGACTGTAAATAAAGATGGACGACATGACTGCTTCCCAAAAGTGAAGACAAAGCATCTCGATCGCCTTCTTGCTGGCTGACTGTAGTATAGGTCATAACCTCCACATTTTCCATGTTAGTGGATGGGACACAGACCAAACTGAAAAGTGAGACCTCGGCTCACTACTGCTCACTACACTCTGGCTACAAATCCACAAGATGGCAGCTTTTGTATGCAGGATATTTTGGCTTCATTTCTGGATTGTGGGAACTTGGGAAGAAGTGGAGACTTGTCTGCCCTCTTTATATACAGTCTATGCTGCCTGTATGCATAAGGTTGGATTTTAAAAGTCATTATATTAATGTCTCATCAACAGTGATCTCAAGACAGGAATTTATTTCAGTCAGCATGAGTATGTTTTATATGCACACTACGCCATCTGTAATATATTTGTTGTTCTCATTGGCGATGTCTGGTGTCATATTATATCAGTGTAGCTGGCCGCTTTGATTAGGATGATTACTTATGAGATCTGACCAGTGGATAAAACAGGACGGGATTAGGGACACACCTGTTGTAGCTTCACATTTAGGCCCATGATGCTGATGAAGAATAACACAAAACATAAAACATCATGTGTGAATACGATTTAGATCTTTATCAGTTGTAGTTATCTAACACATTACATGAGGGAACAGTAAAGCCCCACTTAAGATGTGCAGCTCACTTGTGTAAGACCATTATTGGTAGTGTGAATATAATTCTCCCGTATTATGTGACTCTGTTGTGTGGCAGCGTGACATGATCTTCAGCTCTCTCCAGCGTTTGCTTTCCTCTCATGATCCCGTCATTTCCCAGACTGTGATTCACCTGTATGCTTGGAAATGGCTTGATATCCTGTGTTTGCAAGAGTTTTCTGGCGTTAAATATAATCTGTGAGTGATTTTACAGATACCAGCGATCACCTTAGAAACATTATTTTCTGTGTGTGACCCTGCAGCCTTTGTCATCTACAACTTCCTGAGTCTGTGTTATGAGTATCTGGGAGGAGAGAGTGCCATCATGGCAGAGATCAGAGGGAAACCTATTGAGTAAGTCTTGTTTGCTTCTTCTTCTTCCTCTTTTGTCTTTGTCTTCTTCTTGTACTCCTCCTTCTTCTTCTTCTTGTCATTGTACTTCTACTTCTTTTTTTCTCTTTTCTCATCCAAGTTCTCCTCCTTCCTCTACTTTCTCCTCTCCTCTTCCTTTTCTTTATTCCTCTCCTTTTCCCTTTTTCTTTTTAATGTTTTAATAGCCTGTTTGCCTTTTCAACTATTTGGACCTGGTATGACCTGTGTATTTCTCTATAGGTCGAGTTGTATGTATGGGACCTGTTGCCTGTGGGGAAAGACCTACTCCATCGGTTTCCTCAGGTTTTGCAAACAGGTACCAAACACCGTCATGGCTTAACCATTGTTACTTGTTGTTAGCCACTGTGGTTCTAGTTCAATTTAACTATCTTTAATATTCCATCATGTCTTTGTCTGTGAAAACTGGTTGTTGTCAGAAGCTTTAGATATTTTATAAGACTACAGCACCTATGAGTGAAAGAGTTCTGTAGCATTGCTGCCTTGTGCTGACCCTGTTTTCATCCTGATGTATTCATTCTGTCTTTTCTCCATCTCAATCTTCTTCAGGCAACTCTCCAGTTCTGTGTGGTGAAACCCCTGATGGCAGTGATCACTGTGATTCTTCAAGCCTTTGACAAATACAAAGATGGAGACTTCAAGTATGTTTCCACAGAAACTTAGCAATTCACATCATGGGCTTCTGCTCTGACTGCAGAGTTGAGCCCGACAGATATATAGATATCACATTATCACTGACACTGGCAGATTGAGAGGTGACCATGTAACATGCTTACATTTTGGAATGTCCCTCTCTCCTCCAGTGTGGCTAGCGG